CCACAAAGGCACACACTTTGGAAGTCACAGGCGGCCGATGCCCCTAGGGCACGTCCTGCAGCAAGGACCTCACTGCTGCCTGCTGTGACCATGCCCTGTCCGAAGACCTAAATCCAAAACTAGTTTCAACTTTCCCTGATGGAACTAGGCACTTCCAGTAGTATATAGTTCTTCCTCTGAGGTGTTTTCTCTTCCTGATTAGTACTAAGAGGCAAAAGAAACACATTTGACCTAGGAGAGGAGCATGAGCATTTCTAAGCTCAGTACTGCCCACTCCCCAGATCCCAAATCTAACTGTTCCCCATCCTCCTTTTCCTTTGTTCCGTATGGGCCTTAGCTCTTCCAGTGGCCATCATCTGCTCCCAAATGCCAGGAACTGTGGCAGACATGCTATTCCACAGCGTTTGACTGGCTGATTGCCCTGTGACAGGTGAGACCTCCCCTTCACTCACTATTTGTCAAAGGATTACTGCTGCTCATATATAGTCATAGGATCATAGAATATCCTAATTTGGAAGGGACACACACCATGTGCCTGAGAATATTGTTCAAATGCTTCTTGAGCTCTGTCAGGCTTGGTGCTGTGACCACTTCCGTGGGGAGCCTGTTCCAGTGCCCAGTCATGCTTTGGGTGAAAAAGCTTTTCCAAAAACCCCACCCAGCACATGGATCAGTTGTCCCAAGTTAGCTGCAGAAGGGAAAATTCATGTTGTGGGTTCTGGACCATCGTAAGTGGTTTATTCTTGGTTTGCCAGGGCAATGTAAGGTCTTATCCATCCACTCGTACTTTGCAGTCGCAATTTGGCCACAGATCCCCACTCTGCCAGTTATCCAAGATCTCTTTCCTCAGCCTTCACAGAAAAAATCCAGAATTGAAATTACTAAAGGGAGACATTGTTTCATCCTGTGTGTGTTTTGCTCTGTTACATAGTGGTGACAGAAGTTAGAGTGGCTCTTTTGCTATGTTTTATTATACTTTTTCCCTCTTTCATTTCAACTGATTTTGACGAAAGCTTGTCCCAACAGTAATTTGCTGCACTGCCACTAGGCAGTCTAACAGCATGCATAAGCCTAGATTGGCCATCCCAAACCCTGGTAAAATGAACAGCCATGGGTTCCAAGAGATGGTTTTGATGGAAATGCCATATATGCAGTTTGTTAATGTATGGACACTAGAATAAACTCTTAGCTGCAGAAAGGACTTTTCCAGTCCTGTTTCCCAGAAGGATGCCAGCAGCAGTACAAAGCAGCATTAAATCAATCAGCCAGCCAGTCTGTAAGTACATTGCATAACCAGGTAAATAAACAAGTCCTAGACACCCTAAAATGCTGTAGATATTTTCCCCTTGTCAGGCCAAGTAATTTCAGACATTCAATAGGGGATATAGGAAAGGTCACCAACTGCCTTAATAAATCTCATCAAAAAACAACAGACAAACAGCAGTGGCTCCCTCTGAGAAGAGAAAGGTATGGTCTTTAATGGAATAAACTCAAGATTACAAAGATAGAGTGAACAAATATTTAAGCATTAACATTACAAACTAAGGAAATATTGTAGAAAAGGAGGATATTCAAAACATTGATCTTTTTTCTCAGTTTCTTACTGCTACAGAGGTCTTTATTTTTTTTTTTTTTTGACATATGGAAAGGAGTTTTGGAGGAAAACACGTACTAAACTAACCTGATGGATGAACCTGTAAAGTAATAGCTTTAAATGCATTGTAAACAGCCCTGAGGAGAAGGATTTCGGGTTGCTGGTTGACCAGAAAATCAGCATGACCCAGCAATGTACACTTGCAGCCCAGAAAACCTGGGCTGCATCAGAAGGAGTGTGACCAGCAGGTTGAAGAAGCTGATTCTCCCCCTTATGAGACCCCACCAGGAGCTCTGGGACCCCCAGCATAAAAAGAACATGGTCCTTCTCAAGTGAGACCAGAGATGGACACGAAAATGATCAGAATGAATAGAGCTCCTATCCTATAGTAAAAGGCTGAGAGAGCTGATGCTGTTTAGCCTGGAGAAGAAAGGGCTTCAGGGAGACCTTCTAGCAGCCTTCTGATACTTAAAGGGGGTTTACAAGAGGGCTGGAGAGGTACTTTTTGCAAAGACATGAAGTGATAGGACAAAGAGCAATGGCTCTAACCTGGAATAGTGTGGGTTTAGACTGCACATTAGAATGAAATTATTCACTGTCTAGGTGGTAAGGCACTAGAACAAATTGCCTAGAGAAGCTGTGGATGCCCCATCTCTGGAATTATTCAAGGCCAGGTTGAATGGGGCTTTGAGCAACCTGATCTAGTGGAATGTGTCCTGTTCCATGGCAGAAATGTTGGAACTAGATGATCTTTATGGTCCCTTCCAATCCAAACCATTCTATGATTTATGAGCTAAAGCCAGCACACTAGGACTGCTCAATATATCTTATTGTTACCTTGTTAAACATCTGGATTTTAATAAAAAACATGGTAGCAATAGCCAAAGCCTTTAACAACTCTATAGCTATGAAAACAGGAGTTAGTGAGGGTAAATACGGTCAAACAGCTGGCTTTTATTTAGGAACCTAAATAGGATCTTCCCCCTTTCCCTTCATTTACAACATTATACAAGTAAACGAGTAATTAATAGCGAATTACTGGAGTAGACCTGCAAAGCACCTGAGGATAAATTGCTCTAAGTGACAAATAACCTTCACAGAGACATATTAAATTAACTTAGGTGATTGGGTAACTGTGACATAAGAGAAGGGTGTGCTGGACTGCAACTGTTGCTTGTGACAAAGAGGTTCTTACCCTGTTGTCCTATGGCTGTACCTTAGACTGAGGTGCAGACAGAAGAGGGGTTTTCAGCTGAAGCACTGATGATGTTTGAATAAGGTGCTTGTATGAAACTTCTGAAGTTTTAATATGAGGAAAGTGGCAGCCCTTACTGAGTAATTGGTAAGTCGCTTACTGTCCTTTGCCAGCATACGCACGCTTGCTTTTGGCAACCTGCAGGAGGTAGACAGTGCTGCATAATATCACCGTGCAGAAAAACTCACTGAGCTTTTAGGCTCACAAGATGTTGCACTTGCTCGGTTTGAAACTACTGGGTAGCTCAGCATGTTCCAAGCTACCTATGGACCAGCTGTGTGGCTCTGATTAACACCATCTGGCAGGACCAGAGCTGGGCAACCCCAGCAGTAATCATTTATTCTCTCCTTCAGGGAAAACCGGTGTGCAGTCACTTAAGACTAAGCACGGAGAAATATTAACTGTGCTGTAAATCCCAATGACAAAAGGAATGTGTGTCCAAGTAAAATAACATAAACATAGCCTGTGTGCCCTCAAAGTGACCTGTTCTTTGAAAAGGTATTGGTTTTTGTCATCAGAAAAAGATCATCACTGAAAACACCCTAAGGGAAGGAAAAGGATCATTGGTCTATGGTAAGGGTAGAGAGAGAATAATTCAGATTATAACAGGGGAAAAAGAGGTTCACTTTTCTCCTGATGTATTCCTAATATGCCAAAATGATTTAACAGAGGCTTTAGTTACATGAAGTACTTAAGACCTTATTTCTCTGCCTTAAGAAAGAAAGATAGATGAGGAGATGCAGCCAGGGGAGCTTGCCACACTAAGAAAATAACCTTTGCTAAAATACTTGAGAGAACAGAGCTACAGTTTGAACTCTGCCCATTGAAAATTAAAGGTTAAAGGTTTATTGCCCATTAAAGGTTATTGAGCATTATAACTACATGGTAAGAAAACAGAAGAATTTCTGTTGATATTCACAGGGCTAAAAAATGGTTTTCAGAATTAGAACTTGAGAGTAAGTTTTATGAGAGTGAGGAAAAATCTATATGGCTATAGACTAGGCATAGCTCTTTGGTCTCTGGATGTTTAAATAAGTTGCACCCTCTGTTTATCAGATTAATATCTGAATTTGGCATACGCATTTTGCTGATTTCATTCCGAGTATTTTGCAAAGCTTTAGGTAGTGCTGTAAAGCACAATACCAGTGAGGAATCAGGAGAGAAAATACTGACAACTAAATAAGCTTCAGAACAAACTATGAAGAGTTGGCAGCACAGACTGCACAAGATTTCTCAGGAACAGCACCTAAGTTGCTCTGTTTGAGGTCTTCTACTGCTTGAGAAGTGCCTTAGTGCACACAAATGTATATTCTACTGCATTACCCGCATGTACTGGCAATCTCTCAAAAGCAAGGTGCCACAAATGAGATGCAGGAATGTTTAGCTCCAGCCTCTAACCTTATGCAAAGAAGGCAAGAGACTCTAGAATTAAAATGTGTCTTCTGTGCCTACCATGTGACTCACACACAAACTACTGGTACAGCTGTGCTGTGGGGCAATTGAAAACCTGTAATTTCCTCC